TCGGTCTCCGTTATGTTCTAGAGGAAGATTCGGTCTCCGTTATGTTCTAGCGGAAGATTCGGTCTCCGTTATGTTCTAGCGGAAGATTCGGTCTCAATTTGCAAATTTGCTGCCGAGTGCTGGAGCGGGGCCGTATCTATCATACACCTAAAAAAGGAGAATAAACAAAATAAAAGCCACGGAAAAAGCCACTTAACCAAACAAAAAAAGAGGCTTACCTCAAAAGCAGCGTGGGCATCATCCCAGTATTATATGAGTTAAGAGATTTCCGATTCGGGGCTGGGTAGGTAGTTAAGAGCTCTGCAGACGACCTTCCAAAATTGTGGAGTCGCAGGCTTGTGAGCCTTGCAAGGTAGCTCTTTGTCAGCTTGGGCCCTCTCAAACTGATGATGTAATGCTTTCCCGACGTCAGCGCATGTGTCTGAGTCGTTCACCCGCCCGATTTGACTTCCGACGCGAAAACAATAAAACACTTCGTGGCAGGGTTAGGGGAGAAGGGATAGAGCAGAGAGAAACGAATATTTCTGAGACCATTTAAGATCCAACACACCATATAAACAAAAGACGAAAGCTAACGGCGGTGCACTTAACCGTATTCAGGCTACAGATTCATCCTCATTTCCCCCCGGATTTGGTGTGTGTGTCCAGCAAGGCCCTTATCGCCCGATTAAAACATTCACAACAGACGAAAGTTACGGCGGTGTACCTTTCCATATTCTAGCTAAAGATTCATTCTGATATTTTTAACTTCGTGCGTGTGTCGAGCGAGGCCCTCGGTCCCCGATGTGACATACACAAAAGACAACAGTTACGACGCTGAATCTTTCCCTATTCTAGGTGAAGATTCATTCTCATTTCGCAATTCTGAGGATTGCATCGAGCCATGACCTTACTCCCCGATTTATCACACACCTTTCCACTGAATTTCTTCTCCAATTCGCGCACAAGGCGCGCATGAATCTTCTGGAAGGCCTTGCGCAGCCGATAGGGCACATGGACAATGATTGCTTTCCGGTTCTTCGAAACGTCGATCTCCCTGACGTTGATAAACACAGATGAGCGACGGCAGGAAGCAAAATACAAAACAGAAGACGATAAAAGAAACGAGAATAAAAAATCGTCAGATATCGATTTGTAGCTGATACGAATTCAAAACCAAACTTCCAAAAGATTCTCACAAGAGGAAACCGTAATGTCACCAACGTCTTACAAAGACACTTATCGTTTCTACAGCACAATCCCCTTACAAAAAAAATATCGCCCACAACAGGACAGCACATTGAGCGCGCCGATTGCATCAGCCTCCTCCCTACTTGCGGCGAGACTGCCAGATTCGGTGCAACTCATCCCTAAAAAATACACAGGTCGAACTAGAAGCAATCAACAATCAAGGCAAATCCGGAGATAATTTCAACTTCTTTCCCAACAACAGGTCATAGTTTTCTGTCTACAGGCAACCACACAACAGCATATTGTCGTCTGTATAAAGGCCAAATTCCGGGTCAGATGCAAAGCTACATTTCATCCGATCGGTGGACGGGGAAGATGGTAGGTCACCGCATATTGGCATCTGTATTAAGGCCAAATTCCGGGTCAGATACAAAGCTACATTTCGTCCGATCGGTGGACGGGGAAGATGGTAGATGGTAGGTCAGAACTTGGCAACCGAGTACACCAGGGCATGGTGGCGGCGCACTGCGCGCCAAACCTTGCCGAGCCGCCAACGCCGCACTTTGTTTCATCAACGACTGGTGTCACAAGGCATTCTAGTCCAGAAATCCTGAGCCTTCATCAACGATTGGTTCCACAAGGCATTGTAGTCCAGAAATCCTGAGCATGCGAACAATTTTATGAGTACGTCATGAAAAAGAAGATGTTGCAAGGCTGAAGCCGCGTACTGGCGGTTCAAGCAGGGGAGCGCAAGAAGGGCAAGAGTGGAACTACGCAACAGATATCTACCATCTCAGCAAAACTACATTCATCGGCCGTAACCAAAACAACAGATCATGAACGCTAAGGTAGCAATTCGCTGCGGAGATTGCATAGACTTTTTTCCTGGTTTCACTTGGCAGAGTTGATGGAAGGCAGAGCAAAAGGGGAACTAGGCAACTACATCCATAATAGAACAAACTACCGTCTTCACCCGAATAGAACGACCGGTCATTATAGCTGTATTTGACACAACTTTCTGTCCACATGCAGCGATAATGACCAGGCGTTCTGATCGGGTGAAGACGGTAGGAGACCATAAATGCTAGGAAACTGTTCCCAAACGAGATTGACTAACTTTTCCCTTATTTCACTTACTTGGCAGAGTTGATGAAGAGATCGCGGAGGTCACTCTTCAGCTCCTGGTTCGTGGCCTCCAGATCGAAGAGAGCCTGGCAAGGAACAACGAAAACGCACAGCAACCGACAAAATATATAAACCAGAATAGCAAACAGAGTTGATGAATTGGGAGTCGTAAACTGATAACGAGAGTCCGACAAGGCACAACACAAAATCCCCACATCGACTCAGAACAAGTAAACACACACGACGACTCAGAACGACGAAGTAAACACACACGACGACTCAGAACAACGAAGTAAACACACACGACCATAACACACGAATTGACAATCATTTGAGTCCCCAACACCACAAGAGTTCAAATCCTTGGGTCCCCCAATTGCTTGCAACAAAACACAATCACAGTCAGACCCCGCCGTGAGTCGCAAACTTATGCTACATTGAGAATTTCAGGACGACAGATCGACCGCAAAAGCTGTCAAGAGATTCTACAATTGCATGCACAAACAAGGAAATACCAACGCAAGAAAGCCCAATCAATAATGGCTTCCAATCAACGTATCCATATAGTGTAGGAGGAACTCAATTCCACTTTCGGTCCTATCCTCGACGATACAGCAGATGACTAATCTGGTACCTCAGAGAGACAACCTAAGATGTCTGATACTCGATTTTTTTGTCCTCGGACGTCAAACCCTACATACCATCGTAATGTCTCTTAAACCTATTACCCCTCAACGTCAGCATTGATTGATCGAAACAACTTGATCAAAGGCAACCATCTACAGCTAGGGAGAGATCGTGATAGGATCACGCTAGCTAACCGTCTTCCCCCGAGCACAACGCACCCTGATAACGAATGAATTCGACCTATGTTTCCGGCACGGTGCATCCAAATTGAGGGTGCCTTGTGTTCGAGTAAAGACTAGCTATCGGTTCAATGCATGCAGGGTGATCGTGTCCTCGCTCTCCAACCTTACCTTCTTCGTCCCAATAGAACGTACAGTCGTTCCAGCATGTATATTGGGCAACTTTCAGTCTAAATACTGACAAGATAATCCGAACGTTCTATTCGGGGAGAAAACGGTAGGGCCGCCCCACTAGTGGCAGACGTATTAACGGAATCAAACCCTAACACAAAAACAACAATCGGCAATAACAAGCACTTCCCTTCTGAAGCCTGCCTTCGGCCACTACCAGAGCAACCGTAGAAGCCTCTACCCTTTATTTCATTTCCCTACTGCTTTTTCCGTACTTTCCGTTCAAAAACCGATCTCGCGAGTACGGATAATCTCGCAAGTGTGTATAATCTAGGTAAACGAAACTTTATCAATCCTTTAAAGACAAAAAAAAAAAAACTTTATCAATCCTAACGAAGACTTTGGTGCACGACCTCCGACTACAGAGCTGTTTCTCCTGCTCAAACACCCTGGACAGCATACCCATTTCCTTTCTCATTTGCCAGTTCACTTCCCAAGCACCCCAAACATATCGCATATGCGTTGTAAGCGAGAACAATGCGTAAAAAGTGCGTTCTATGTATTCGAGTACAACGCATTTGCGTTCCATTCCAATTGCCCCAATGTTCAAGTACACGCACATGCGTTCTATTCGGAATTTTTTAAGAATTTCCCAAAATTCGAATACAACGCATGTGTGTTACGTTCAGGAGAAGAAGGTAGTTCATATACGCCAACCTCGTACCCTTCATCGCCGAATTTCCTCAACTCTTTCCCCTGCTACCCGGTACACACCTGTATTCTTCCGTCCCCTGGCCGCTGTACCCTTTCAACTCTACTTATCCAAGCCGCTGTCCCTTCTCCCTCCTAAGCCGCTGTCCCTACTCGCTTCTAAACGAAGCCTTATCACCCACTCTCTCTACCGTTAACATCAATCTCGTCCACAGATAACCACCGTTTCTCAACTTTCCACCACATCACTCATTAAATTCAACCCTTCATCAAATAGCCACGTGCCTGAGTATGTGAATAGCCATTGCCTCAGTATGTGGACAACAACGGGTACAAAGTGCTAACCTCCTCGTCACGTACCGGACATTTGGCCCCCAATGATACACTTCAGCTACTGCATCTTCCTAGCCTTCGACACCAATCCTCCCTCTGTCTATGTTCCTGTTGCAAACTCTCGACGCTTTCATACACTTCAGCTACTGCGTCTTCCTACTGTAGCCTTCGACACCAATCCTCCCTCTATGTTCCTGTTGCAAACTCTCGACACGTTCATCGCTCCTTTCCAATCCTTCCCGCGCCTTTCCCTATTCACACCCGTCACTCCCTTCGTTCCACCAGAACACGGCCCCAGCCTAGCAGAAAACGAACTGGTCCCCACCACCGCAACTTTCCGGACTAGGCCGCCGTAGGCGCCCGACAGCTGATATGCATGTCCACGTACTGGTGCTTTATGAGCCTCTTTGTCGACCGGTTTTCTCCGAATCAAATCTCAATCCAGAACCGACTAGAAATTCCCACCTGCTTCGACTTTAACTATTTTCCTATTTTCCTAAGTCCCTGACCTCTTGAGTTGCAATCGTCACGACAACTACCGTTACTGCTACCAGATCCGATCACGGCACCCCGTTCCTCCCTGCCTCTGCCGGAAGGCGCGGCTGCCATGACACTGCGAGCCCACAGACTCAAACCCTAATTTCGTCAACGCAGTCTTCGTCATCAGTACTCTTCCCTCTCCATCGCCCGCACGCCGACTGGTGAACTTCCCTCCTCTGTTCCATTTCCCATCTTCTCTCTCCCCTCCCCGTCTCTCTCGCGACGCCTCCCTCCTCGTTCTTACCCCCCCCCGGCCCCCTCTACGTTGCTTTTCCACTGATTTCCCCACTTGAAATCGTCACCTCTTACCAAGCCCCGACGGCTATCCCCCACGGACAAGTCAAAGCAACACCAAGTTATTCACCAATTACTACAAATCCCTAACTCTTCCCCTGAGACAGCAATCATCCCTGGCTGGTCCCCCCGGGCAACTCGACCAGATCTCGCCCGCATATCCTTGTTAACCCCTGCTGCTAGCCCCTTTCATCAACGACTGCCGGATCCAAGCTGCCGATATCCTTCCACCAACCTTCCAAGTTCATCTGTTCTCAGACTAGCTCGACAAGATCGCAACTCCCCACCACCACCTTTGCCGTCTTCACCCGAGTAGAAAGCTCAACAGCTGTACCGATGCATCTGGACTGAAAGTTGTCCGAAATGCACACAGCTATAAAATGGCCGGGCATTGTGTTCGTGAGAAAAGGCTAATAGCCATGTACCGAGCTGAACACTATCTGCGAGCTGGAACTACACTAACCCTAAACCGAAATCGCTCTTGTTAAGCCAGAAGTACACTCATCTCTCTCTCTCTCTCTCTCTCTCTCTCTCTCTCTCTCTCTCTCTCTCTCTCTCTCTCTCTCTCTCTCTCTCTCACGCACACACACAAAACGCACGATACGAACGGCCAGCCAATCTGCCTGTCTACTTCAAGTACCGCCATTTCCCGCGGCACGAAATGATTGAACTACATAGTCCATTACTTAAACACTAAATTTTCCTCCCACACAAGACGCATCGCTGCACCCTCGGTCATCTTCTTGCCCGCGTCCCCTGAAAGAATACCGTCACCACCAAGGCAATCAACCGCCATCCCTTCCTCGCTTCTCATCTCCCTCTCCCGCAGGAGACATCATCTCTCATCCCCTCCATCGTCTTCTAACACTGAATGAATGAATTGAAAACAGACAAAAAATCGAACTGATCTCTCCTACTCAATGAAGTACAGTGAAACGATAACAAAGCCAAACCAATCATAACTTCATGAATAAGGATTATCAGGATCAAAGACACCTACCTGCGCCACAGACTCCTCGAATTCATCGGGCTCTTGATTGTTCTCCTTCTGAATCTTCTTCCTGGCGGTGAACGACATGGTGGCTGCACCTTATAAGCTCCCTGCAGCATACCAAGAAAGAAAACATTAAGTTAGGTCTAATCAATCGTGAAATAGGATGACGTGCCACACCACACCCTAAAGCCATACTTCCAATCTCGAATACCGAGCCAGACCTATCACATCCTCAGCGGCGGTCGTCAATCAACGAGAAACGTCGCACACAGAGATTACTCATGCCAGTGAGATATCCGCGGGACGACCGGCATCTCTCTCTCGCCACCGTCTACTCCATGCCCCCTACACATGACCCCCCCCCCCTACACATGACCCCGCCAAAACACGGAGGCTTCCTTGTGCACTCAGCTCCCTAACCAGCAAATTGCCCAAAACATGTCTGCAACTGAAGCGCAATCTCCTCCCCCTTTGGAAACCCTGTCAGTATTGGCACTCAAAAAAATCAGCTCCTGACTCGAGTTCTAATCCAATTCCTCCCTTTGGACTGTACAGCTGCATGTCCTCAGAACATCCTCGCAACCCAAACGATCCATGGTCGCCATCGCCACTTCCCATCTGTCTTACCCTCTACCCTCTGTATGCGTTCACAGACCGCTTTGTTGTCATGAGGCTCCTACAAGGCAAAGGGGCGGACTAAGGAACGGCTATGGAGAAAGAGAGCAACCTAGAACATAGAAGAAAATCACTCACCTCCGCAAGTGACGTCCGAGCTGCGGTTCCGCAATGGCGGCTCCCTTCGGACGTGAAAGGACTGTCGTAAGCCTTCTGGCTAGCATTTACACCCGAGGCAACGCCACACTGAACCGGTCACGGACTCCAGAGGGTCCACTACTGCCATGTGACTGACGTCCTCATTTCCTCCTACCGTAGGTGCAGTGGCGTTTTTCCCCTGTGGCCACCTGCAATGGCCCCGTCAACAGCTACCGGTACGGTCGGGAACTACCCACAACCAGAAGCGGCGAGGTCCCACAGCAGCCTGGTTAAGGAAGGGCCTGGTTACATCATTTGCCATCTGCCAAGTTTGGCAATTGGTACATGGTTCCAGTTCCACATCTTGCCGTCCGCCAAGCCTGGGACTCGGTGCATGGTTCCACATAGGGCCTGGTTTCAGCCATGGCAAAACCTGTGGGGAGCAGTTTCCACGGAAAAAGGCAGATGGTTCCACACACTCGCCACGGCAGCTACCAATAACAGTCCAAAAAGTAAACCGCCTCGTCTTGGGCCAGAGCAGCTGCCAAGAACAGTCCAAAAAGTAGACCACCTCGTCTTCGGGCAGGGCAGGGAGAGTTATCCCTACCTATTTATTGACCACCAGTTCTCGATCCCAACCTTGCTGAAACAAAACTCGTCGCCCATCCGAAAAAGTCGGGGCGGGGTCGCTGTTAATAATTCAATTGGCGGCCTTTGTTACGTTTCGGCGCTGAAAGCAGCCCCTGGCCAATCTATGCTATGTACTGGTGGTTTACGTATCGGAACATCGGTGGATCGACTGAGGTGTTTTCTTATTCTCTGTTATTTAGGTACGTATGATCCAAACTATAATCTAATTTTTATGTTGTTTGTAACCCAGTGGGGGAAACAATAGACCACCTCATCTCGAACCACCGTCATGAAACAAGACGTTATGCATATGTCAAAGAAATGTTTTTGTTGAAAATGGCAATGACAGCCATGTATGTCCCCAAATGTCATGGTCGGTGGGAACCAAGTTCACAAAAATTTATGACAACCATCGATGGCAGTTTGTGGACGGTGGACGGACTTGTTCACAATCCCTTCACATGCAAACTCTGAGTGAGGGTGGATAGGTGGCATCTAACGTTGAGGCAAACTTTATTGTTACTCAGCGAAACAAATATATTGCACGATAAGTAAACAGAATCATGTGTTAGACATCTCATAAAATCACGTGTCTAGGTTTTTCGTAACTTGCCACGATTTGTAACAAATGTCAAGGAGTGAACCATACCCTACCAAAAGTGTAAATCATTTTATTGTGCATGGTCTCCTATGGTTGGATAAATTTGTGCAACTTGAAGGCACATTTCTCCAACCCAAAGAGTTGTCATGATTACGAGGAAAGTTATCCATGCCGAACTATTGAACCATGTAATTGTTTTTTTTTTTTTTTCTCTATCATTTGTGTATGTATGATTCAAACTTCAATTCAAGTTGTGTGTTGTCTATAACCTAGTGTGTGCACCACCTAAAAACTATTATGTCAATTTTTACCAACATACTTAATTTTTATTAAAATTAATTACGCAAATAAAATTCAAAATGAATAAGGAACGTATACGATATTTGATCGATTGGCAATGTTGATTGTTTTACCAAATAAATTGAATATAAATTGGCAATATAGAGTCAAACTTGATAACTTAATCTACCATATTTTTTTTTTCAACTATAAAATTGATACCTTAATAGAATTGAAACATAATTATAATAAAAAATTGTATCGAATTTATCGCTCTCAAACTATAATTAAAAGCAGTATTTTTTATTATCATATTTATTATTTATTAATATTATTAGTAAATAATTACACAAATTTTTTTATACATCATGCTCATCTCACTTTTCACCATAAAAAAAAATATTTTAAATTATAACGCTTTGTTTGGTAGTATATAAAATATCACAAATACGTTTTTGTTATTTTTTTAATTACTTTATATAATATCAAAAACTCGTATATATATCTCGTCACAAACAGAACTGCCCGGTAAACCGTAGGTAGAGAGAGAGAAGAGAGGACAACAAATGAGGGGTTGTAACAAACTGTATATATATATACAGGGTCACCAGCCCGTACGTACGGAGATCCCTGTGCAGACCTCCGTACATACGGGTGTTCGGGGTCCCGTACGTGGTCCGAACCCGGCAGCGTTCGGCCCCCACAAAAAAATATATTTCGAGGCCTAAACATAATTTTTTTTTTTTTTTTTTACTTTTAGTTTCCACTTTAGTTCGGGGTCTAAACAATTTTATTATTTTTTGAAACTTTTTAGTGTGGTTTTTGCATTATGAGAAGTATAAATCTGTAAATTTTCAGGGCATTTAGCTATGCCCAAAAACAATGAAAAATCGCCAAAGATGGCTGTGTTGAAAATATGCTCGCGCACTCACTAAATTTATTTATTTTTAATTATTATTTTTTTATTAGTATTTATTTTTCGTATTTTATTTTTATTTCAAATTTAATAAGGAATTTAGATGTGATGATCAGACAAATGTTGTTTTATTTATTTTTCTTCATGACATATCATTTTTTCAACTAATTTTGAAGGGTTTTTTTTTTGCGGGGCGGGGGGGGGTCCGCATTCGGTCCGAACAACCGAGCGCATCCCCAAGGGGTCCCATACGTTCGGGCGTTTGGCCCATCCCGAACGTCGGTTACCCTTTATATATATATTTTTTAAGCCGCAACAATCTATCGGATATTTTGTTTTTTTAAATGAGAATATTAAGTTGCTAACTTCTTAATTTCATATATAGAATTGTAAGCGCAACACAAGATATTGAAGATTATAAGATTTATACTCATGATCTGCCAAAAAAAAAAACAGTAATAAAACGAATAAGAAAAACTTCATTATTAACTTTCACACTGTAAATCATTATGTAAACTGCCCAATAATACACTATTTGCGTCTTTTTTAAAAAAAATCAAAGGATAGTTAAATTTGCAAATTTTAGATTAACATAAGTGTAAAGGAGATTGAGTCATAATTAATCGATGTTAGATCATTGCTAACCTTAAAGTTGAAGAATAAGTTTATGACCTTTTTATTCGAATCAAAGGTATAAACAATATAATAAAGTTGTTTTATAAACTTGACAAATAAAAAAATAGAAATATATTTCCTTTAAATTATACATTGAGTCAAATATTATGATAATTATTAAAAATGTTGCTAAATCACTGAATGTTGCGGCGGGTCGAACGCCTGAACGTACGGAGGCCCCTAAGCTTACCCCCGAACGTTCGGGCGTTCTGGTCCCAGTACGGGGCCTGAACTAGAAGGGGTTCGGACCCCGCAGAAACTTATTTTGACACCTAAATAGGGTTGTCAGGACGAACGTACGAAGGCCCCTAAGCTGACCAAACGTATAGAGTTGCCAAGACGAACGTACGAAGGCCTTTAAGCTGACTCCCGAATGTTCGGGCATTTGGGTCCCAGTACGGGGCCTGAACCAGAAAGGGTTCGGACCCCGCAAAAACTTATTTTGACACCTAAATATTATTATGTTTTTCTGAACATTCTGTTGTGAGTTTTTTGTGACATAAGGTATCTCCTTCTTAATTTTGAAGTCATTTGGTTCAGCCAACAAAAAATAACAAATCGGCAAAGATTGTGGTGTCAAAACTTGTTTGCCTACTCACTAATTTGTTTTTTCTTTCTTTTCAATTTTTGTTTTTCCTTTATTTCGGGGCACGAAAAAAAATATTATTTTTTTACACTTTATTTGTATATCCTCTATTATGTAAGATACACAAATATAATTTTTTATGGCATTTGTCACAGCCAAAAACAAATGAAAAATGACAAAAGATGGAGATGTCCAAAACGTGCTCATCCACTCAATAATTTCATTCTCGTTTTATTTTTTTAATTTTTGTTATTTATTTTTAGTATTTGATTTTTATTTTAAATTTGGCATTTGAATTTCGATGTAATATTTGAGGCATATGTTGTTTAGTTTATTCTTCTTTATAAGTTTTTTTTTCCAGTTTTTTTAAAATTTATTATTTTTTTTTTTTGGGGGGGGGGGTCCGCGTTCGGTCGAACGCCCGAACGCGTCGAGAGGGAGTGACGAACGTTCAGGCAACCCTGTATATATATAGGGTAACCAGCGTTCGGGGCGGGCTGAAAGCCTGAACCCGAACGCCCGCAAACCGTCAAAAAATATGAAAACAAGATATGTTCTGAAGAAAAATAAATTAAACAAGATTTGTCTGAGCATTACATCCAAGTTCCTTACCAAATTTGAAAAAAATATGTATATATAAAGAATAAATACTAATAATAAAAATAACAGAAAAATAAATTAATTAAATTTAGTGAGTGAGCGAGCATGTTTTCGATATCGTAATCTTTCGCAATTTTTTTTTTGTTTTTGGCATAGCTAAATGCCCTCGAAATTTACAGATTTGTATTTCACATAGTGCAAAACCCACTAAAAAAGTTTTAAAAACATAATAAAATTGTTTAGACCCCGGAGTAAAGTGAAAACAAAAAGTAAAAAGTGAAAAAAAAACGAGGGCGAGCACTTTTTCACACCGCCATCTTTAGCGATTTTTATTTCTTATTGGGATGAGCCAAATAAATGGAAAATTGATAGGCATGTACCTCACATCATAGAGAACTCACACAAAACAAATCAGAAAAAAATAAATTATTTATAGGCATCGAAATATTTTTTGGTCGGGGCCGAACGTCTTTCGGTTCGGACCCCGTACGAGACCCCGAACGCCCGTACATACGAAGGCCAGCCCGGGGACCTCCGTATGTACGGGTTGGTGTATATATATATATGTCACAGCCCCTCGTTTGTTGTCCTTTTCTCTCTCTCTGCCTACGGTTTACCGGGCAGTTCTATTTGTGACGAGATATATATACATATATATATGCTACGACTTCGCTAGCTTCCTGTTATTGTTTTTTCCGGTCAGGTCGAACGACAGTGGTCGGGGCTGTTACTAGGCGGCCATGTTGTGCGTCTAGTGCCAGCGTTATTTGGAGTGTATTTTTTGGCTATGACAGACCTTTCTTTGTTTCGTGGATGTTTTGTTGGCTTGTGATTGGGTGTGAACCGACAGTCTGTAGAGTTTTCCATCTGGTGTGGGTGAGTGATAGTCTACTGTGATTTTCGTCAAGGTAGATTATCATTTACAGTGTAATCAGTGAGG